AGATATTAATATTACAGTAAAATTAAAATTAAAATGGGTTAATGAGTTTTAAAAATGATTTAAGCTTTAAAATTAAAATTATGAAATAATCTAATTTATTTAATTAATTTGCTAATATGTTTAGAAAAAAATAAAATAATTTAATTAATTCAATATAAAAAATAAAAAAATTATTTGGTTTCGGTTCTTATTCGGTTCTTCGGTTCTTAGTCTAGACCCGAGACCCAACCCAAACCCATCGGTTCTCGATTCGGGTACCCGTTCGGGTATTTAATTTATGAAGAACCGCTCGGTTCGGTTCGATTCGAGTTGTGTTCGATTCGATTCGGTTCGGTTCGGGACTTTTGGACACCCCTATTAAGAACCAAGTCTAACTTGCTCAAAAAAAAATTTCTAACAAATTTCAGTCCAAGCCTAACTTCATTTCACAATTCACCTAATACTGACATTTAGGTACAATTGTTGCCCTCGTTTTCAGCAACTCCTCTCTCACAGGTCACGACCTCATCTTTGCTCCTCAAGATCACTAATGTTTTAGCGTGAATGAATTTTATTAGACAACTTTTTATTTGCATATTTTAAATTGGACTATATTATTTTGTAAAAGTTAACATTTAACATATCATTGGCGAGATTAATATAGCATCCATTCAGCTCCATAATTAAATTTGGACCCGAATGTTCCACGTACTATATACTCAAAAATTCTTCGGTTCGATTCCCCTTCAAACCAAATCGAATCAGGCAATTCTCTAGCATAAATAGATTCTGCCACGAAACAAAAAATAAATTTAATTAAAATTTGAATTTTTGTAACAACAATAAATTTAATTAAAATTTGGATGCAAAATCCAAATTTTAATTTAATTTAATTTTAACAACGAATTACATAATAAATTTGAATTTTTCAAAATGATAAAAAATAGCTTTAATCTCTGCAAAAACATGTTAAAATTAAATCAAACTATTGTGTAATTGAGTAATTATTTTTCGTGAGATTGACAACCCAATCCAAATTTTAATTTAATTTAATTTTAACAACGAATTACATAATAAATTTGAATTTTTCAAAATGATAAAAAATAGCTTTAATCTCTACAAAAACATGTTAAAATTAAATCAAACTATTGTGTAATTGAGTAATTATTTCTCGTGAGATTGACAACCCGACTCATCTGTCAACTTTATTACTTTTACGGGACTCGTGTGCTTACGGTACACACTTTTTAACGAACAACAGGTCGATACCATTTTTATAAATTTAGTGGCCAAAATTTGACCACCTCAAAGTTCAGCGAGCAATCGACAGCGTTTTCAAAATTCAGTAAGCAATCAAAGACCTTTTTCAAACTTTAGTGAGCAATCGAAGACTTAACCATTTGTTAAAAGCGTGACAAGGTGCCACATGTACATTCTGTTTGCCACATAACTAATTTCGTTAAAGGTTTGAAACAAAGTTATGCTAGTAAGTAACGTTCAAAATTCGGATAAATTTAGAAGCCAAAACTCGTTATCTTAAATTTCATTGAGCAATCGAAGACACTGACATAAGTTTAGTGACAATTGAGACAATTAACTCACTATTTTACTCTTCAACCCTTAGTTGTTTACTATTATTTCAAAACTCTTTCTTTCTCAAACTTAATTTCAACCACATTTTCACAATAAAATATTTTACACGTAAACTCAAAACTTTTTTTTATACTTTTTACTACATATTCTTCAAAAAATTACTATTCAAAAACTCATTTCTCTTAATAATGGTAAACAAACAGGGGATCAGTACCTTCCAATGTATTAAAAGGTTACGAACCAATTGAACAACTTAGCCTGTGTTTGTCTTATTTTAAAATTTTTTCTACGTATTCATTTTCAACCACAAATTCACGTAATAAAATATTTTGTATGTAAACCCAAAACATTTTCCTATATTTTTCTACACATGTTCTCCTAAAAATTACTATTCAAAATTTTGTTTTTTCAAAATAATGATTGTCAAACGGGGCTTAATTCCCTCCCCCATTTAAATTTTAGAGAAAAATTATCATTTTACACGGAACCATGCTAATTGTACATTTGTAGGTTTACATCTTTGATATTGTTTAGGAATTCAAAAAATGTTGGTATAGAAAGTGTATTTTTTTTCAAAACTGTCCAATTATGTGCCGACACACGGCACAATGTAAAAAAATATGTAAAACAAGATGTACATTTATCATGATTGTTTTGCACAACCTCAACTGCATCAAAATAGATGGAAATTGTGTAAAGATTTTTTTCTGCTTGTACAGAAAAAATCTTACAGAAATTGAACAGATAGTCATATGGGGGTGGGCCCCATGCGAATTAAATATTGCAAAAAAAAAAAAAAAATGAGCCCCACCT